ATAGGAGTTTCCCTTCCAGAGCTTTCTGTAAGGCTGGATTGGTTGATGTGTATTTTTTAAATCTGGTTTTGTCTTGGACTATCTTGGGTTTCTCCATCTACAGTGATTGAAAGCTTTGTTGGCTATAGTAGTCTGGGCTGGCATCCATGGTCTCTTAGTGTTTTTAGAATATCTATCCAGGACCTTCTGGCCTTTAGAGTTTCCATGGAGAAGTCAGGTGTAATTCTGATAGGTTTGCCTTTATATGTTACTTGGCCTTTTTCCTTTGCTGTTCTTAATATTCTTTCTTTATTCTGTATGTTTGGTGTTTTGATTATTATGTGGTGAGGGGACTTTTTTGTGGTTCACTCTACTTGGTGTTCTGTAAGCTTCTTGTTCTTTCATTGGCATGTCTTTATGTTGGGCAAGTTTTCTTCTATGATTTTGTTGAATATATTTTCTGTACCTTTGAGTTGGGTTTCTTTACCTTCTATACCTATTATTCTAAGGTTTGGCCTTTTCACATTATCCCATATTTCCTGGATATTTTGTATCCGGGATTTGTTGAACTTAAGATTTTCTTTGGTCGATGAATCTATTTCTCCTAGTGTATTTTCAATGCCTAAGATTCTCTCTTCCATCTCTCGTATTCGGTTGGTTATGCTTGTATCTGTAGTTCCTGATTGTTTGCCTAGCTTTTCTATATCCAGCATTCCCTCAGACTTTTTCTTTAATTGTCTCTATTTCAGCTTTCAAGCCTTGAACTGTTTGAATTGTTTCTTTCTTACAATTTTTGGTTTGCCTTTACCTGTATTTCTTGATTTTGTTTTGTTTAGTTTTTTTTTCCATTTCCTTAAGGGATTTTCTCATTACCTCTTTGAGGGTCTTTATCATTGTCAGTTGCTTCATCTGTGTTTGGATGTTCAGGTCTTGCTGGTGTGGAGTCCCTAGACTCTGATGGCATCATATTGATCTTTCTGTTGTTGACTGTGTTCTTATACTGTAATCTACCCTCCCTTCTTCCAGTGTGTACCAGTGGGGCCTCTTCCTGTCCTGGTGGGTATGGGACCAAGGTTCTCTTCCAGTGGGTACAAGCAGGTCCAATACTCTGATGGCTCTTCTCTTCCAGTGTGTGGTGGCAGGACTCCTCCCATGGATAGAGGTGGGACCAGGATGATGGCAGACTCTGGTCAGGCTCCCCCGCACACAATCCCCAGTCGTCAGGAGGCTCCAAGCAGGGCATTGGAAGGTGGACTCCTCTACTGGGTGAAGGCAGGACCAGGATGCTAGCAGACTCTGGATAGGGCAGACCACCAGGATGGGTTTCCCCATGTGTGCATTCCCCAGGCTTCAGGAGGCTCCAAGCAGAACCCTGGAAGGCAGGCTGGAAACACGCCCACACTTAACCCCTCCCGTGGGTGGAGGTGGGACTAGGACTCAGGCAGACTCTGGATGGACTTGTCCACCAGGACCGATGATGGGAATATTCTAAAACCAGAGTGTCCCAATGGGGACACCATTCTGTAAGTTTACTAAAAATAATTCATTTTTTAAAAAATTAATGTGGAACCAAATTAGGGAAGGAGAACTGGAAAGGTTTTGGAAAGCGTTCTTCCTGGATTCACCATCTGCTGGTGCCCACAAAAGTATATAGTGAAGCACAACTGGGTAGGCAGCACCATTAGAACCATGGGACTCTCCTCTCCTCTTCCTGAATGCCAGTAAGAATTTCAAAGAAGCTAATTAAGCTGATGATGACTCAGGTCAGCCCAGGGATATTGTAGTGCCCTTCCCTGTTGTGGAATATTATTTTAACTATGGAAAGATGTGTTACATTTGTTTATGCTGCATTTGTTTACCTGTGTAAAGATGTGCTGCATTTGTTTCACCTTGCCTACCTAATGGATCTGATTGGTCTAAGAAGCTAAATGGCCAGTAGCTAGGCAGGAGAGGAATAGGCAGGGCTGGTGGGTGCAGAGAATAAGTAGTAGGAGGAATCTAGGCTTGGGGAGAAGAGACAATGAGGGAGGAAGAGAGGGCTCAGGGCCAGGCAACCAAGCAGCCACCAGCAAGACAGACACAGAAGAAGCAGGAAAAGTAGGACACACAGGATGAAAGAAAGGTAAAAAGCTGTGAAGCAAAACCTAGATAACGAGAAACAGGTTAAATTAATTTATATGAGCTAGTGGGACAAGCATACAACAAGGCTGAGCATTCGTAACTAATGATAAGTCTCTGTGTCATGATTGAGGGACTAATAGTCTGAGAAAGACTGTTAGACTCCCCCATATGTTGTCATATTCACCACATGTTCTCATTAAGATCAGTAACCATGTGTGTCCTTTGCAGGGGGTATGATGGTTAGATTTTTGTTTGGTTTCGTTTCTTTTCTTTCTTTCTTTCTTTCATTTTTTTTTTTTTTTTGTTTTCTTTTTTTGAGACAAGGTTTCTCTGTGTAGCCCCAACTTTCCTGGAACTTGCCCTGTAGACCACACTGACCTTGAACACACAGAGTCCACCCACCCTTGCTACCCAACTGCTGGTACTAAAATTATGCACCATCGTGCCAGCTTATGGTTAGTTTTAAAAGTCAACTTGTCACAACCAAGAATCACTTGAGAACGGAGTCTCGGTTGTTGTTGAACTGTCTAGGTCAGGCTGGCCTGTGGGAATATCTGTGGGAATTATGTTGACTCTTAATTGAGGTGGTAAGACCCACTCTGAATGTGAGTGGCACCATGGCTGGCACCATAGCTTGGTTCTGGATGGTGTGAGCATAGAGAAAGCTAGCCAGGGAGAACCAGCAAGCAAAGACCCAAGCATTACTGTCTTTGTTCTTGACTTCCGTGCAGTGATGGAGTGGAACCTGGAACTGTAAGTGAAAAAAAAGTAAGCCCTTTCTTCCCTCTGTTGCTTTTTGTCAGGGTACTCTAGCACAGCAACAGAAATAAAACTAGAACAGGGGAACCAGATAACAAAGCCATACTCCAAAGAGTGGTGTGGCATGCTCAGATACCTTCTATTTTAAATCTGCAATTTTCTGTAATGTAAGCTGTGTTGCCTCTTTTGTCGTTCACATTTTAATAATGTCTTCTCTCTCTGTTTTTGGCCCATCTAACTGAACCTATGTCAGTTGTGTTGTTCCTTCCAAAGAACCACTTTTTCATTCCATTGATTTCTGTTCCACTCATTATCATGTCCTTTCTTGCTTTGGATTTAATTTCTTCTTCTGGTGCAGCTTCTTAGGGTGGGAAACTAAGTTTAGCAATGGGAAAATGCTCTTTTCTGTAATGGGCTTTTTCATCAATGAATTTCCCTCCAAACACTCCTTTAGCTGCATCCTATAAGATCTGGCAGGATACTTTATGTCACATAACTTCCCTGGATTCTTTACTTTACTTTAACTTCATTCCAGATCATACAACATACTTTGCAGCAGCACTTCTTAGGGAATTTTCATTTTGTATTATATTTCAAAACTCATAAAGTATATTTTCTCCCTAGAACCATTCCTTGATTTTCTTCATTTCTAGCATATCATTGTTTTCTTTTATTATTTTCTTTACTTTTCATGTTCAGAGGCTCTATTTTTGCCCCTATTGTAGTACTGTGGATTTTTTGAGACAGGATGAAGAAATAATAATGAATAAAAAGCAGGAATTAAGAGGCAGCCAGTCACTGAAAGGAAAAATGAAAGAGACAGCAAAAGTTAGGGATTTATTAGAGGTTGATGGTATTCTATAGGAAATGATAACAGAACACTATATAAGAGCTGTCACTTTTAGTCCTTTCTGAGCAAGTGAAAAATATGCTTCCCTATAATTTTTCTTGCACGTTTATAAAAACAAATCCCAATAAAACAGCATAACTGACTCCTAGAGACTGCCTCACTCAGGAAAACAGGATCAGAGGGATTTCAGTCACCTAGGTCTGTAGCACCTAAATATCTATCGTGATGAAAACATGAGTTATTTGCTTCTCATCTGAGACCACCCATGCAAATGTATAGAACAGGACTTCTTACATCTACAGTTCAAAAGAAAAAGAGACTAAAGAAATTTCTTTCTTTCTTTTTTTCAAGACAGGGTTTCTCTGTATTGCTTTGGAGCCTTTCTAGAACTCTCTCTGTAGACCAGGCTGGCCTCAAACTCACAGATATCTGTCTGCCTCTGTCTCCTGGGTGCTGGGATTAAATTAAAAGGGTGCACCACCAACGTCCAGTGAGACTAAAAATTTTAAAAAGGCTACTGAAGACAGGTTGTGACACACATGCACTACCAGCACTTGAGAGGCTGGAGGATCAGGATTTCAAGATATCCTTGGCTACACAGAGAGATAGAGGCTAACCTTGGCTACATGAGATCCAGTCTCAAAGAAAAGAAAACAAAATCTTAGCAATTTAACTCTGAATGCTGTTGGGTTTAACTCATTTGGCTAAGAAAACCCATTGAACAAATTCCTAAGATTCTCAACCCAATACAGAGATGATAAATTGTCAACCTGCGAAGACTATTAAGGACTTTCAAAGCTGACCAACACCCTAGGATCTGAAGACAAAAAGAAAGATTACCAGGAACTGTGCTATGACTGAGCTCTGAAGGGACTTCCAAGTATATCCAGAGTGAATGTGTGCAGGTAGGCATCTACAGCTAGGTATAGTGAATGTGTGCGAGTAGACAACCACAACTAGGGAGAGTGAATGTGTGTGGGTAGGCACCCAGAGCTAGGTCTGCCCATTAGGTCAATAGGGATAACAGTAGAGCTCTAACACAGTAACACTGATTTAGTTTGTTGTTTTCAAATTTCCTGGAATTCTTTCTCATGGGGTGACATGAGCTTCCAGTTGAAATGGGAACAGACTCTAGAGTTTTGGGGAAAGTATGAGAAAAATGGTCACAAGCCTGTAAGAAACAGGAGCAAATTCTTTCTTAGTTTGAGGCTTATTAAGTAACAGTCAGAGCAGGGTGGCAAGATGGCTCAGTGGGTAAAAGGCTTGCTGTGCAAGCATTAGGACATGGGTTTTAATCCCCAGCACCTATTAAAAAACTGGGCATGGCCACACATGCTTGTAACCTCAGCATCAGAAGGGATAAAAAGGATCCCAACATTATAATAGCGGGCCAGTCTAGCCGAAATGAAAGTTTGGGTTCAGTGAGATACCCTGTTTGAAGGGAATAAAGGTGGCTAGCAATAGAGGAAGACATGTGACATCTTTTTGTGGCCTCTGCGTGCACATGCGTGGGTACACACATCTGCATATACTATACACACCTACATATAATACACATGTACATGCACCCACACAGGACAAAGCTGAGCATGGGATATGTGGAGACATTTTAGTACAAAAGGACATGTTTGAATACTGAATGATAGCAGAGAAGGATGCTAGAAGGAAGATAACCAGAGAGAGAGACCACTGGAAAAATGATCTGTTTGCAGTTCAAGGAGCCAAAGAGGCCAGGGCACCATAGCTAAGCATCACAGAATTACAGGAAATGCAAATAAAACAAAGAAACATCTGAGCTTTCTAAACCACTTAAATATGCCCATGCTTTCAAATAATACATTTTTTTTTTTTTTTACCTTATTCAGCATCACTGTTATGGACTCACGAAAAAAAAAAAAACCCATTTTCTTTGAGCTCAGGAACTGTCAACATCAGTCCTAATGGTATCCAAGGCCTGATGAACTTCATAAATGCTGTTCTGTACACTATAGGACCTTTAGCACCATCCCTGGTCCTGAATCACTAAATGCTACTTGTGTTGTCCTTCCCCAATAGTTGAAATACCTAAAAATGTCTACAAAGTATCCTGAGAATCCCAGTCACAAGGTTGTGGGGAGGAAATGGAGCCATGGCAGGAAGGTGTTTGTAGTTGAGAATCACTACATTAGCTATACTATTTTGAATAATAATTGTTTCAAAGTAATAATTATTGAACATCATCAAATTCACAATGTTTTGTTTGAGATGGGATTTCTCTGTACAGCCCTGGCTATCCTGGACCTCACTCTGTAGACCAGACTGGCCTTGAATTCACAGAAATTCACCTGTCTCTGCCTCCTAAATGCTGGAATTAAAGGTATGTGTCACCATACCCTGCAAAACTAAGTGATACTATTTAACAAAACTAGCATGATATAAGTTTCTTATTTCTCAATATGTGACTCATCTTAACTAGCTAAGACCATAATCTAGCACACAGAAATATTACTTTCACCCCATTTCAGGTATATTGCAATCTGACAAGATAAAAGTGATTAATACTATTTCTATTTAATATAATGGTTTATGTAAAGTCAGGAAGCAGAGGAAAATTTGTACATCTTGAATATATACATACAAATTATTTTTAGGCAAAGTTAAAGTGCACACATTCTCTTCTATGCTGGTTATAGACTTTATATGTAAATCACTTGTACTGGATGGACCATCTGATCATAAAAACATCTTACATATATTCAAAATGTAAAAGCAGTAGAGTTTCACATCACTGTTAATAAAGAGGTTACTAGTGCCACAGAGACTGCCTGATGTGTCCTATTTTGGTATAACATAGTTCCCTTTACTATACAAATGACAACTGGATCTTGCTTTTACCTGACTTATCTGTAGAATCTTCAAATTCCACGAGGAAAGAGTACCCATTATTCCAGATGTGGAGGCAGGTGGCCGGGTCATAAGAGATAGTGAGTGGTTTTAAGCCAGGGTCATAAACACTGTCCCTCCATCGGATGTTGATGGGTGACTGCCGATCACCCGCAGGAACAAGGTCCAAATTCTCCCAGAGTGGAGGTACTAGGAGAGAGCAAGTCTGGGCAGTTAGCAAAAAACAACCACTATCTAGCACCACACATAAGACCATCCCATTTGGGAAGAAACCAGAGAGCTGAAAAGGCAGCTCACAGTCTCAGACATTAGCTGTTTGGGTCCTTAATTAACTGTGTAAAACAGATCAGGGCAGGCCAGAGAGCACCTTGCAGGGGACTCTTTATTCTGTCAACTAACCCATTTCATCCTGTCTGCTAATGTGATTTGAAGCCAGTGCCATCAATTCTGTGGAATCAGCAAAATACATGGGGATTAGAGTGTGGAAACAGTTTTCACAAATGCTGCTTTTTGTTTCATTGTAATTTGTTGAACTCCAACAAACTAAACCAGTTTCAAAAACAAGGTCAAGTGAACTTTCAATAACAGACTTTATCTCAACAAAGGGAACAGAGTTAGAATGGTTGGAAAGCAAGCTTTAATTCAGTATTGTCAGTTTTCAGTTGGTTGGCTAGTATATCCTGCTGCCTAGAAGATGAATAAGTGTGTATGCCAGGTCAACCTCTACAAACAACTGTGAGGACTAAGCAGCTATCCTATAAGGCCTGTACAGACACCAGCATTGCTGAGGTCCCTCAAGTACACAGTTTGTCACAGGAATATGGACACAATCTCTTAAGGTATACCACACAATTTGTCTGGCTTGTGCTAGTCCCTCCTCCAGAGAGCCAAGCCCAGGTCTCTCAATAAATATCAGCAGACTTCCTGATGACAACACAGAACGAACTGGTAAGCAACTTGAAAATGAACACAACCCACACCTATCAACTTGGGATGGTCTGCCTTGTCCAACTGGATGGCTGCATGTAAAAGAATCCAAATAGATCCATGTTTATCACCCTACACAAAACTCAATTCCAAATGTATCAAAGACCTCAACATAAAACCAGATACAGTGAACTGCTTAGAAGAGAAAGTGGGGAATGGCCTTGAATGTGTTGGAACAGGAAAAGATGTTCTGAACAAAACACCATTAACACAGGCACTAAGATCAACAATTAATAAATGGGACCTAATGAAACTGAGAAGCTTCTGTACAGCAAAGGACACCATCATTCAGACAAAGCATACAGAATGGAAAATCATTTTCACCAACTACACATCTGATAGAGGACCAATATCCAAAATATATGAAGAATGTAGATATCAAGAAAACAAATGACCCAATTAAAATGGGGTATATATCTAAACAGAATTCACAATGGCCATCAGGGAAATAGAAATCAAAATGACTCTGAGATTTCATCTAACACCAGTCAGAATGGCTCAAATAAATAACACAAGTGAAAGCTCATGCTGGTGAGGATGTGGAGAAAGGGGAACACTTATCCATTGCTGGTGGGAGTACAAACTTGTACAGCCACTATGGAAATCAGCATGGTGGTTCCTTGGAAGACGGTAATTGATCCACCTCAAGATCCAGGTTTACTACTCCTGGGCATATACCCCAAAATGCTTCATCCTACCAAAGAGACAATTGCTGTTCTATTCATAGTATCTAGACAATGGAGACAACTAAGTGCCCCTCAACAGAAAAATGGATGAGGAAAATGTGGTACATTTACACAATGGAGTATAACTCAGATGTTAAAAACAATGTCATCAGGAAATTTGAAGGCAACTAGAACTAGAAAAAAATCATCCTGAGTGAAATAATCCATACTCAGAAAGACAAAAATGGTATGTATTTGCTTATATGTGGATATTAGCTATTAAGCCAATAATAACCAAACTATAATCCATAGAGCCACAGAGTAAGCGACTACGGGGAGGGGAGTGAGACAGAACTCCCTAGGAAAAGGAAATAGGATAGATAGTTATGGATGAATGGGGGTGGCTAGAACAGGAGGATAAAGTGGAGAGGGGGAGGGAAAAGGGAGATGAGGGAGGAAATATGGGGAGAGATAGCAAAAATTAAGAGCCATTTGAAGGGTAATGTATGATGGGAGATGTCATTCTGTATATATGTTTCTCATACTGGTTAATGAATAAAGCACTGTTGGCCAATAGGAAAGGAAGGTGGGAGGGACTAAGAGACAAGGAGGAAAGAGGAAGGAGTAAGGAGGAGTCAGCATGGAGAGTCTGGAGAAAGCAGTATGGCAGCCGGCTCCCAGTAAGACTACATGAAAATACATAGATCAGCAGAAATGGGTTAATACTTAAGACAGAGCTAGCCGATAAGAAACTAGTACCAGGCCAATAGCATTGTATCAAATACAGAGTCTCAGTGTGTTATTTGGGGCTGGTGCAGTGGCAGGACCAGACCAGCGGTGGGCAGAAAAACCATACTCCTTACAAATGTATTGGAAACCTAATACAGTAGAAGCTTCCTAAAATATATACACATACAAACGGGATTTAATGAAGCTTCCAGTACTTGGAATGGATTACATCTAATTGAATTGTTGGTCAAGGGGTCTCATGGGAATCCTCCAGACAACCCAGGCTGTTGCTAAGATTATAGGTACTCTCCAAAAACTGATGACAAGGCCCTAATGTTGAAGACAACACCTATACAACTCATTGAACATGGAGATATTGAGCTGGTGCCTACATAGAGTCTTCACCCCTATGTTCTAGCATCTTTGATTCAGGAAAGTACTCGGCATGCTATCAAAACAGAAACCTGAACACCAGCCTAGCAATAAAATCTTTGATCTACAATAGTGTCCTGCCTAAAAGATATGTCAGTGCAATGGTGGCACAAAGCTTATGGGAGTAACCAACCAATATCTGAGTTAAGGCCCATTCCACAAGATGAAAGTCATACGTGATGCTCCTTGGGTGAACAAGAATCTAAGACTAGATAGCCCAGGGACCCAGTCTGAAACTGAATACTACAGTTCTACTGAATAACATAGCAATAAAATGATTCCTAATAACATTCTGCTCTACTCATGGATGAGTCCCCTGTTAAACCATCATCAGAGAAGCTTCCTCCTATAGTAGATGAGAACAAATACAGAGATGCACAGCCAGACAACATGCAAGGAGTGAGAGGCCTTAGATCATTCATCCCTAAATGGGATGTGTTCATCAAATCCTTCCTCAGGGCTCAAGGAACTCTGTGGAAAAACCCAGAAAGGATAGAGTACACCACAGAAACAACATGGTCAAAGCGCATATGAATTCATAGACATGCCCAGGGTCTTCACAGGTCTGCACCAGATGGGGTCATAGAGGTAAAAAGAAAAGTGAACACATGCCCCCATCCCTAACCCAGCAATATCCCCAATTGATAACCACTTGCAAATGAAAATTTAGTTTTCTCCAAGGAAGTCTTACTGAGAAACAAACTACTCTTAAGGGTAGGCTGAATGCCCAGCAGTACTTGGCCAATAAAAAAAAATAACAGAATCTTTAAAGGTCCCTTTTTTAAACTCCTTTTTTGCTTGTTTGTTTTTTTATTTTTTTATCTTTTTTTTTATATATCAATCTCAGTTCCCTCTCTCTCCCTCCCTCTTTCCTTCTCTCCCACCCTCTCATGTCCCCCGACCACCCTCCCCTCCCATCCCCCCACTCCACATATAGGGTGACGACTTCCAGGATGGGCCATTTAAATCTGTCAAGTCATTTGAAGTAAGGACTAGGACTTCTCTCCTGTCTCTAGGTTAAGGGAGTATCCCTCCATGGGGACACCAGGGATACATCCTGGTTCCACTGTCAGAGGTCCCTTAGACTGCTCAGGCCTTTTAACTGAGACCCATGTTTGGGGGTCTTAGTCAGTCCCATGCTATCAGTCTGGGGGTCCATTAGCTCCTCCTTGTTCAGGTCAGCTGTCTCTTTGTGTTTCTGTAGCCTGGTCTTGTCCTCCCTCTCTGCATCTGGATTCCAGTTCAGTTCAGTGTTTCAGCTACTAGATGAGGGCTCTATGATGGTGGATAAGTTAGACATCAATCTCATTGTCAGGGAAGGGCATTTATGGTAGCCTTTCCACTGTTGCTCAAATTGTTAGCTGGGGTCAGTCTTGTAGGTTTATGGACATTTCTCTAGAGTCAGTTTTTCTCTTAAACCTATAATGGCTCCTCTCCCTTCCTCCCTCCTTTCCCTTTCTCATACCCTCACATGCCCCCACCACTACCCTCCCCTCCCACCCCCCACTCCACATGTAGGGTGATGCGTCCCAGGAGGGGTCATCTAAATCTGTCAAATCATTTGGAGTAGGGCCTAGGCCTTCCCTACTGCCTCTATTTTAAGGGAGTATCCCTCCATGGGGAATGTGTTCCCAAAGTCCTATTGTGAACCAGGGATACACCCTGGTTCCACTGTCAGAGGTCCCTTAGACTGCTTAGGCCTGCTAACTGGGACCCATGTTCAGGGGGCCTGAATCAGTCCAATGCTGGATTCCTAGCTATCAGTCTGGTGGCCCATTAGCTCCTCCTTGTTCAGGTCAGCTGTCTCTATGTGTTTCTGCAACCTGGTCTTGTCCTCCCTCTCTGCATCTGGATTCCAGTTCGACTCAGTGTTTAGTTATGGGTGTTTGCTCAGCTACTAGATGAGAGCTCCATGATGGTGGATAAGTTAGTTGTCGATCTCACTATCAGTGAAGGGCATTCCACTGTTGCTCAAATTGTTAGCTGGGATCAGTCTTGTAGGTCTCTGGACATTTCTCTAGGTTCAGTTTTCTCTTCAAACCTATAATGGTTCCCTCTTTTATGTTCTCTCTCTCTCTCTCTCTCTCTCTCTCTCTCTCGCTCTCTCTCTCTCTCCTCTCATCTATTCCTCCCCTGACTCAATCTCTCAATCTTCCTAGTCCCACGTGCTTTCCTCTCCTCCCCTTCTCTTTCTCCTAGTTCCTTCTCCAATCACTGCCCCCCCCACTCCCCATATGCTCTGGAGATCTTGTCCCTTTCCCCTTATGAGGGACATTGTACGAATCTTTTAGAATCCTCCTTGTATCCTACTTTCTCTGGTGGTGTGAATAATAGGCTGGTAATCCTTTGCTCTATGTCTAAAATCCATATATGATT